CTTCCAAACTCACCACCAAGTAATTAAAATGACTACAAGTTCTTTGATTTGTGAATGAAAGGTTATTAGTTAAATCTGTTAAAACACATAACAATAAAATGGTGGGATTCAATAGCTAATAAGGTTTATATTCTATTATAATCTAATAACTGGCAGTAATTATCACACATAAGTATGCAACAGTGTAATCACAATTTACCACACACTTTAATCAAAGTGCACAGGATGAAGACTTGTGCTTCCTAATTCATTGCCATTTACCAGCCTAACTCCCTTGGTTTTCACACCTTTAAGTCTGTCTCAGAATGATGAACCTGTCTCCCTCTCTATCCCTCCATGCCATACAAGAATTGGCTTTGGTGTTGGTCTCAAGAAGATCCAGAAAAGGAAGATTTGACTTTGGGTGGTAAACACACAATACAATATACAGATGATGTATTATAGAACTGTACATCTGAAACCTATATAATTTTATTAACTAATGTAACTACAATAATTTTTTTTTAAAAAAGATCCAGAAAAGGGTTACATTGGATAATGGGCCAGCAACTCTCTTCATTCTCCTGAAGAAGAAATTCGGGATTCCAATTAGAGGTATCAATCAGTAGACTGACTAGTTAATATATCTTTCTAATTGGGCTTTTAAGTGCATGACTTGTGTCAATTTCCAGCCAGCTATTTCTATCAATATCAACAACTTAGGGTTGGTTAATTTCCATATGACAAAAACAAGGGTAGGTTCATAAACCTGCTTAGAAACTAACTCTCTGCCATGGCTTTCCACCATAAACAGCTGCATAACTGTTGGCAACTTACTATTTTTCTTCTCTCTCTTGAAAATATCTTCCCTAATTACCTTCCCTTATTTCCTACACTTATTTCTTTTCTTTTTTTTAATATATCTTTATTGATTTCAGAGAGAGGAAGGGAGAGGGAGAGAGAGAGATCGAAACATCAATGATGAGAGAACCATTGATCGGCTACAGCCCCCAACCCGGGCATGTACCCTGACCAGGAATCAAACCCTGATGGGCTGGATCCTAGGTCGACGCTCAACTGCTGAGCCACGCCCGGCTGGGCCCTACACTTATTTCTTATCACTATTGATTCTATTTCTAATTCTGTTCCAAAGAACAAACATAACACAAATATCACTTCTTGGAGCAGGGTTACATCTAATAATTCTTAAACACATAAACCACACAATCAAAGTAAACGCTGCAATATATTTTATCTATTCCTGAGGCGTCATTATAGTGCAGTCTTTCCAGGTGACCCACTTAGCCAAGCGGCTAGCCAGCTCCACATATTACGAGGTTGTAGCATGTTCCTGCTTTGATACCTAAGGATCACATTGACCATTTGTTGTTTTATAGGCTAGTTCAAGTTTTATCTTGTTTCAAGGTCTGGAATAGTCTCACAGATTCCTCTTGGTTTATTTGATGACTTGCTTAAGTTAGCATGGTTGCTTGTATTCTCTCATAATACTAACAGTTTTAATAAGCTCTAACTAATCTGTTGTAGAATTGTATAAAGTCCATATTCCGGAATCCTAGTAGAAGAAATAGCTACCCTTTAGTGCATATATTTGAGGAGCACCAGATCTATTTACAGTTCAATTGCTCATCAAAGAGAATTTGTAGCAACTTATAGGCTTTCCTTGGATATGTTTCCTGATCTTGCCCAAGTATTTATGCTTTGAGTCTTATTTTGACACAAAATTATAGCCCAATTTCCCAAAGTCCAAATTCCTAGTGCAGAGTTCACATCGTCCCTGGCCGTTTCTAAACTTTTAATTAAAGCATAGAGGGTATTATGCAAAGAGAAATAAGTCAGACAGAGAAAGACAAATACCATGATTTCACTTATATGTGGACTCTAAAAAAATGAACAAAAAAAACAAAGACTCAAAAAAATAGAGAACAAACTGATGGTTGCCAGAGGGGGTAGGGGGGTGAAAGGAAAGAAAAAGGTGAAGGGGATTAAGAGGTACAAACTTCCAGTTAAAAAATAAATAATCCATGGAGATGTAGTAATGTAATAATTCCCAGCACAGGGAATATAGTCAATAATATTGTAATAACTTGGCATAGTAACAGATGGTTACTAGACTTTGTGTGGTAAATATATCATAAGGTATATAAATGTTGAATCACTATGTTGTACACTTGAAATTAATATACTATTATATGCCAACTATACTTTAATAAAAATTAAAAACTTATTTTTAAAAGCATAGATTCTATTAACTTCTATCCACTTCCTGTGTTATTCTTCTTCTTGGTGGCTACATGTATAGATTTCCTTGATTAACCGTTATCACTAATCTTCCTTGTAAAACCGCTTTTACTGGAATGGTAGGATAGACATTCTTCTTCCTTTTCCACTGCTCCAGTTAGGTGGGTCCATTTACACCACATTTTTTATTTGCCATTTTGGACATACTGTATCTCTAGAGTCCCCTACACTGGAAAAATAAGGTTCAGTTTGTCCAGTTATTACAGCAGCAAAGTTCCTCAAGCTGCTGTGTGATATGGCATGTAATTATGCACAGTAATTGCTTAATGATATAATTTTTATTTCTTCTCTTGGTGTCGTGGTACACTTCAATTCTCCTGTATCCTCATCTACTCTATCAATCTTTCTAAATAGCAGTCTATTGTAGAACTTCTTCATACCTGTGTGTTTGAGCAGCTCCATAAGTTCTGAGTTTTCAAAAAGATCTGTGGTAGCTTTTCTTGATAAAGCAGTCTCTTTCTTAAATTTGTTAAATCAACTTGTCCTGAAATTCAGTAACAAAAATGATTTATGTTTCTCCTGCTACTGTTCATCCAAATAAAACCTGGTTATATAGTCTATAATTTCCCCCATTTACCTTTAAAGGTAGCCAATTGTCTGTGTATGCAAACCTCTGTATTAGATGCAACATGTCATGTTGGTTAGCTCTAAAGTTACCTGAATTAAGTGTCTTTATTCCCTTTGACCATAATATACTTTAGGACTCTATATGAATTGGTATAGTCTGGTTTCTGTCAATGTGGATTGACTTCTACGTGTCACTTCTTCACAATTTGCATATATCACTTTGTCTAATGGTACACTTTTATGTCTTTATATAGTTGTTACCCATGTCATGAGATGCAAAAATCGTTCTCTGGAAAGGAGGACCATAGTGTCCATAGACTTGTCTGAAGGATAGCTATTCTTCCAAATGGAAGTAAGGATACTACATGGCATGGAATTAGTATGATCAGTGAATTTTCCACACATTTAATTGGGCCCTCTCTTTTGATATGGGGGTCCTCTATTACATTTCCCCCTTCTGGTATCTTTAGAATTATTGTAAGTAAATACCAATCCATACTTTGTTTAAATTCATATTGTTCCATCTCTCAATAGTTAAAATTTCTTTTTTTAAAGGTAGTTTATATTTCTTTTTTCTTTTTATTGAATTTTGGGGGTGACACTGGTTAACAAAATTATACAGGTTTCAGGTGCCCAATTCTATAACACATCATCTTTACACTGTATTGTGTGTTCACCATCCCAAGTAAAAACTCCATCCATCACCATTTACCCTCACTATACCCTCC